ACATTCAGGCATTGATTACACTGAGTTTGCATTTTCAAGGATGAACTGAACTGATAACAGAAATTACTGTCGGCAGATCGTGTGAATAGTCCCCTACAAATCAAAGTTCACTGCAAACAAGCTGTATCCAAAACACACTTTATCCCCCTATTAGACACACACTCAATCATATAATATTTTGTAAGTCAGGCACTGGTAAATAAGACTACAGCGCATTTCTTGCAATGTAAATTTAGGATTTTTTGGCATTAAAATTCTTTTCTTGGTTTTAAAACAAAAACTGTTGTAAGACACTCATTGCCTTGCTGTATTTTTTCAAAAGATTTTTTTCATTTCTGTTTCATTTACAATCCCTGGCTAATAGGCAGGGACAAAAGTCGGAATGGATCAACTCAGATGGCTGATTTGAATAAGAACAGCAGGTAGTGCTATTCTCATTCAAATCAGCGATCCGAGTTAATGATCGGGTCTGACTTTTGTCCCTGCCTATTAGCTAGGGATTGTAAACGAAACAGAAATGAAGAAATGAGAAAATACCCATACCCACCCCTCAGAAGGTCACTGGAAATTCCAACAAAAGTCTCAAAAGCCAGATTTTTTAAGGCAAGCATATAGCTAAACTGGAATTACTCGAAAGTACACAGTCCATTGTACACAAACCACCTTTAATTTATTCTGTCAGTTATACAGAAGTGACTGCTATAATAACTGAATGCTTTCAGAACAAGCATCTTAGTAACCATAAATAAATAAATTACTTTTGACATCAAAACATTCCAAAACTCTACAGTCCTGAACAGACCATCACAGGTTGATTGAAACTGAAAACCTAAACTGAATCCCTTTATGATATAATATTATTTTGAAATGACAAAAGCTTCTAGTCTTCTCAGTCTAGATTAAGTCAAAAAAACTTACAGTGGAATTCAGAAGATACATTACAAACTTACAGTGGAATCCAGATATTTTTAGCCTCATAGGGGAATATATTGGGTGTAAATTTGAGAAATTGGTGGTAATGTTGCGGTGTCTGACTGTGTGAAAGGGAACTGCTTTTGCTTTGATTTATCAGAAGCTCCAAAAACTCAAGTGTTCAATAAGGGGATTCCACTGTATCTTATATTGTTAAACAAAGCTTAGCTCTAATAACTACAAGTACTCCGATAAGCAACTGTAAATGGGTAATTAGACTCTGAATAAACAAAATTTAAACGTAAGCTCATTGAGGGCCTGTGAACAAAAAATTTTACTCTGCAAACATACTTAAAGTGGGAACAGGGATTTCCTGGTTCCAGGATTTTAACATCCCAATTAGCCCCCAAAAATGAATCTAACTTTGCAAGATCCCTCCCTGAATATGAAACTTGGAAATGGTTCTCACCTGTTAGACCCAAGATCTTAGAGTCATGCATTGGATCAAATATGCCAAGGTGAATAGGCTGCGCAGGACGAGTGGCAGTGCGTGAAATACCCGAGTAGACACCTTGACGTATTTGATTGGCCAAGCAACTCTTTCTGAGGTCCAACAGGTAAGAAAAATTTGCAGCATTTTTAACTTGACAAAACAAAACCCTGTCCCAGCCCTCGCAAATAACTTTGTCAACCAAACCCTTTCCCTTTGACCCAATAATGACATCAGATTGACACGAAACATGCGCTACATTGTTCACTGTACAAGATACACCCCTATCAATACTTTCAACTTTTTTGTCCACTACGGAACACAGCAAAAACTTAAACTTAAAAAGATCCTTATTTCTTGAAATGGATGTACAAATAAAAACTGAACCCTTACAAAAATCAAGAGAATACAAGGATCCAATCCTCAAAATGGTGCCATTTGACCCAATAAAGAAATAAAAGTGTAAACTGCTGCTACTAGGTACTGCCATGGTAACCTGATCCTGATATGGAATCTCGGTGACTGCAACTTCAGAACTTGATGTCAACCCTTGATCTGTAATCACCGTTCTTCTCTGCCTCTTCCTTGTCTGCTCAACTTGTTCCTGAGCAATGGCTTCTTCCACCTCCCAAACTTTGACAGTCTGTCTTTCTTTGCTGTCAACCAGTTGCAAAGTTACCTTAAATAAAAAGCTTGGTATTAATTTCAGGCTTCAGACTACAGGCACAAAAATTGGATGGCCACACAGTAAACATGTAGACCTAGAAAAATTCCTTGAATTACAATCAATTTAAGAGATGAGAGAAGTTAAAGGATTCCAAAAGATAATGAATTAAATGTACTTCGCCCTGAGAAACTTTATGCAAAGTAAGGCACTCAAAAGAAAAAACATCTTCTGAAGCCAATTAGTGTATTGTGGTTATTTTAATTTTTTCTTAGCCAAAAAACAGTGTCTGACATTTTCAGAATGCAGACTGCAGACTTTTCACTCTGGTTAAACTTACTATGCACTTCAGTTAGCCTACTATTCACTCTGGTTAGCCTGAATAACACTTCATTTAGCCTGTTTACGGTACGCTTTCAATAATGGTAATGGTAACATGATAAATTCTCTTAGTTTGCAGTCTGCAAAATGTCAGACACAAGCCAAGAAGTAAGTGACGAGGGTTAACTTTTCTAGCAGTATCATTAGATGACAAGATGAAAGCAGCAATACAACCACTAAATGGGGACACTTGTAAACATCAATGATTCAAATGTTTGCCTTAAATCGGTTACGAACACTCCAAACTACTTTTCAGTATAAGAGTTGTATAGAGACTGGTAAGGAGAATTAGTAGTATGATCATGACCACTGACACTCGATGTAAAGTTATGTAAACAATAAATCTGCTGCTACAGAGAGTTGAAACTCACCGATTTCCTGATAGGATCTGACTGGAGAACATTTGCTGCTTTGCCATTCAAGTAAACAACGTCCCCGTGGAACAATTTCTTGAGATTCGGGTTCTGATGGCAAAAAGTAACTTGCGTGAGATACTTATAAGCGTCAAAAAGGAAAAGGAAATGAAAAAACTCAAAATTAACATTGAATAACTTCTTACCTTTTTTTGTGCAAGACGGCGCGGGATCAGCGTTTCTTCGATCGTTTCCTTTCTGATTTCGGAAAGGTCACTTATCTCGCGGTCCCACTCCGATCTCCATGGAGGAAAAGTCACAACAACCGAATTTTCGGATGCTGAAATAACTTTGGCTTTGGCCCAAATACCGAGCTGATCGACAGCTTCAACAGAAGCACCAACGGCAAACTCCATCATGTATCACGGCTCACAGCTAATAAACTAGTTAACGTGACGATCAAGTGTGTTTACAGTGATGAGAATAAGTGAGTAGCCACGCGTATGACTCAGTTATTTATAAGCCCGCGTAATGGCGTGTATTTGCATAACAATATATATCGTCTGTTGTTTTGACAAGCGCACGGTCAATCAAATTCAAACAAACTCTTATGTATTTCTTTGTAGTTTAATAGTATCTGATTGTTAACCTTAAATAAACTAATCCAACGAAAAGCTTAGCGATCGGTTGGTAACAAATCACTTCAAATAATTTTTTAATCGACTTCCATCTCGCAAACGAGAGCAAATTCATTCAGACGTGACCGAAGACATGCCGCCGCGGTTCTCACTGCCGGCGACAAATTGCGTTGTAATTTGCAAAACAAAGCGGTTCTCCGGTAATACGGAACCAAAAATTTCGTTTAAACGCTCATTTTCAAGCTTGTAAAATGCATATCAATAATAAACCGATATTACCTTTGCCGCTTATGAGCGAAACGTTTTTCGGTGGAAAG